AATTCTGAAATTTATATGCTTCTAGATCTGTATCTAGAAACTTGTTCTTGTAGATATGTGATTATAATCTAATATATAGTTTATAAAGCTATTCTTATTTGTGTTTTTCTTTTTGATCATAGATCTAGTAGAACATGATTTTCCTTTGACATATAGATCATACTTCTGAACGCATTCGTTAATGACCTTGCTAAGGTATGTAAATAATTTTTCAATTTACCTTGCTAAGGTCATTAACGAATGCGTTCTTGGCAATCAGCAGTTTCATGACTTTAGATACGTCATCATACACAAAGCCACATCGTGTTCTAGGTACAAAAGAATCGCATGAACTCGCTGCTACAAAAACCCAATAACATTCGAACGAAATCAATACCAAAAAATGGAGAACAAATGCGAAATCAACACCAAAATATGGAGATCTGATTGATCTAGGATGCACAGAGAACAATTGCGAGAAGAATCAAACTTATGGGTAAAAATAGATACCTGGAGAATGGGAGAGGTTAGCGGAGGAAGATCTTATAATCGATTTAGTTGTCAACCTCATTATTTTCACAAATTAGGTTAAATTGCAATCCCTTTTTCGGATCGATCACAATGGTATTCTCTTTTTAAAGAGAAAAGAGAATAGAGTGATTTTGGGTTTAATCAATTATGTAAGGGCACGGTTGAAGAGATGATAAAGCAAGCGAATCAAAAGGGTATGCTGATCGATAACATTCCTCAAATTTCGAGTCTTCTCAAAGCTAATAACTCACTTGTTAGTGATTTTCGCAAGGTAACACAATCTTTAATTTTGGTTTAAGAATATTTGGACTCACATCACCACATTTTTATGACTTGGTCTGTTTTTTAAGAGTCTTTTGCCTTCAATGTTCAACATTGATGGCAAAAGCCCTCAATTTAACAAGATCCTTGTTTCTTTATTTCTTTAACCGAATGTTTGATTATTTCTATAACTAGTATTAAGGTCATTCTATGCAGGGGCAAAATATTTATTAAATAATTTTGATTTTTTTTTATAGAAAATTAAGATTATACATTTAGATTTTCTTAAAAATAATGTGCATTTTGTTTATTAGTATTTTTTTTAAGGCATAAAATTATTATATTCGTGAAAGATAAGAAAAAATTAGAAAAAAAAAAGTTTATCTTTTCCAGTAAAAAACTAAAATCTTAGTATCAAATGATTTTAATTGTGATGAATGAGAATACGTGAAATTTGAAACAGATTGCTTACAAATATTAATTAGCTTCTAAACATCCAGTTTGAYAAATAAATCAAACAAAAAGAAAGTATAAATATATTCCGCAACTAAAGAATAATAAAAATTTATATTTGGAAATTATCAAAGAAAAACTAAAACTTATGTAATCATTTTTTCTTGCCAAAGAAAATATTCAATATATACTTAAATACACTCTTACATAATGCTATTCTATGCATATATTTGATTGTTGGTTACACGAAAATTAGTAAAAAAAAACAATAAAATTCACAAAACATATATAAAATAGAAAATTACATTACAAAAAGGAGAAAATCCACTTTCTCACCAAGTTCGTGATCTCCACCAAAATAGTTTAAAATGGAGGAATAATCTCTTCAAATGTTAACTTTATATTCATCAAAAAAAAAATGTTAACTTTAGAACTATCATTGTGCTGCAACACAAGTGC